ATGTTCAAAGACTGAGGAAAGAGCTTTTCTCAGAAGTGACAATGGAATTTTAATTGTAGTTTTACATATAATTGCAGATTTAAATGAATTATTAGCTGTAAGTGATGTTTCCAAAGTTGTAAAATGTGAAGTTCTTTACAATTGTTGAAGCATCTGATAATGACTCAACACTCAAAGCATAGATATGCCCCAACTTCATGACATCTTGCAAGATAGCCTCATTTTACAACACTCAACTAAGAAATGGGTATAATATGGCAGTTTCGAGACTGCTTTCATGTGCCATTAGAAGCTTCATGAGTCTACAATTAACATAACTGGCTCTGTGACTCATTTTATTCAGCGTTTGTGTTGCTGTTGTCCAGAATAAATTTCATTTTCCTACAATGTTATACTATTTTCCTCAATTTTGATCCACTATTACCTTGCCTAAAACAATGAAGTTTGTGATTCTAAACACAAGTATGTGTATTAAGGACATGCATTGGGCAATCTTACCTACCAGTCTTCATTTTAGTAGTGCTTCCCAAACTATGGTCTTTAAGGTGTGTTAGATATCAGCTTCCAGAATCCCTGATTATTGGCTAAGGCAGCTGTGGTTTCTGGGAGATGAAGTCCAAAACACCGGGAGAACTAGATTTTGGGAACCACTGCATTTCAGGGTAAATTAGTCAAGCCTTTTGGTTATGTAGATACATTTGGATTCAGCAGGTCTAAAGAAAAAACAGCTTCAAAACCATGGAAATCTTGGGTAGCTTCAAAACCATGGAAATCTTCCTAGCTATTCTATGTAAATATATGCAAATGAACCTCCACAGCTGCTTCCAGAGATGGTTTTTATCTTATCAGAAAACAAGTTGTGTGGGATAACAGCCAGGATGTTATCATTTCTCTGTAACTATCCCTCCCTGAAAGGAATTTAAAATATTTATCTACTTTACAAAAAGGTAGCTGGTCAAAAAGATAACTTTACCAGCAGGGCAGGTAAAGTTAGTGAGAAAACAGATGGCAAAAAGAATTAAATAACAATAGCTTCTCTTGCTGCAGGTAAATCCTCCCAAAACCACTTTATCTTTTGTTACAGCTTGTTTGTTTAATGCCTTCACCTTCTCTCAATGTGGGTCTCAAAGCAGCTCTCAACATACTGTATATATTTGAGTTTAAGCTAACCTCAAGTAGAGGGCAGGTTTTGGAGCCAAAATTATGGATTTTGATGTGACCCATGGATAAATTGAAGGTCATTCCTAAACGAGGTAAAAGTGCCAGGATCACCTTAGGGAATCAGCAGCCCCTGGCAACTGCCACTACTTTCCTGCTCAGGCATTTTTAAAGTCCAAAAGCGGTGCCATGGTGTAAATAGTTAAAAGGGTCAGTACTTCCTTTAGGTTTTCCAGGAAGGGACTAAGCTCTCACCTTTCAACAGAGATGGGAAAGGCTTCTTTCTCAATAAGAGTTAGGATATAGTACACACACTGTCCTGTAGATAAGTTGGTCCAAGTCTTTTCAGTTGATTTGGGATGATTCGCCCGCGGAGGAGTTGTAGTTTACCCTACAAGATATTACCAAACTTCCCAAAACAAACAACGCCTTTCTCAAGTAAGCCAAGCATCACCAGATCCCCAAGCTAATAGATAATAAATATGGATTTACTCTAGTTAGGATTGGCAACAGGGCAATCATCATCTATCCTATTAAAAACATGTAATATAAGAATAAAAGTATAGTAGCCCCATTTAAGAGACACTTCTGCAGCAGCTAGTTAACAGTTCACAACTGGCAAAAGTTTTCAGCTCAAAGCTTCCACTTACATATCAAAATTAAATGATTATTTGACAACATTTCCTTCAATTTTGCTGCTCATAAATAAAATGCCATTTTTCTAAACTCCCACAATATGCTTACTTCTGTTGTCTCACAGGTCAATGAGCAGGAAGCAACAACAGAAAACATGAATATTGCAAAAGCCCTGATTTAGAAATAGTGATCAGCTGAAAAGGCAGCAAGGCCAAAGTCATAGCAGTCGAAGGGCACCTTCAACAGACATCTTACTAATCTGACATTTGAGTCTTCTGCTAAACTACTGTGCTAAAGTATCATAGTAAAAGAGGAGCCCCCGGTCGCACAGTGAGTTAAACCCTTGTGCCGGCAGGACTGAAGACCGACAGGTCACAGGTTCGAATCTGGGGAGAGCGCAGATGAGCTCCCTCTGTCAGCTCCAGCTCCTCATGCAGGGACATGAGAGAAGCCTCCCACAAGGATGATAAAAACATCCGGGCATCCCATGGGCAACGTCCTTGCAGACAGCCAATTCTCTCACACCAGAAGTGACTTGCAGTTTCTCAAGTCGCTCCTGACACGACAAAAAAAAAATCATAGTAAAAAACAGATGCTCCTCTATGTACACTTTGTGGAAACATCATTATACACTGAACATTTCCCAAAGTTCCTAACTGCTTTCTATCGTAATTCTTGGAATAACTCATCTAGATCTGTTCCATGCAGGAAAGTAGTTAAAAAACTGAGCTATGAATCAGAAACATGGCTTGAAAACTTACCTTCTGGGGGACAACTCTCAAAGGTCCCTAGCCAATCTAGGACTGTTCAAAAAGTCCTGTGGCCTCATTTGACCCCACAGTACTCAAGTTTGAATCTTGCCTCCTCCACAAATGTACTAAATAGCCTTATTTAAGCAGCTGTTTTGTATCACCTTCTCCCCTGACAATTCAGAACAAAGCTCACCTCACTGGCTTGTTGCATACATTACAATATATAGGATTTTATTTAGCATTCAAACCACTTCTGAATACTAGATATCATCAGTCCTAGTGTTTAAGTATTGTTTTCAGAATAATTTAGTATTAATAATATTTAATAAGTCTTAGGAACTATTAGTATTTTCACATAATTCACATAGCCCCAATGCATGGTGTCCTGACCTAGGCATTGAGCCACCAAAACATATAGGAAGCCTTTGGCATTGGGAGAAGCTTTGCTCAGAGACTGGAGCACTGTGCACTGTGAAATTCAAAGTTAAGCTCCCTTCATTTCAAAAGCAATGCTCTGGCAAATACACATTTGTCACATCAGCAGTTTTATTCACTGCATGTGGCTGTCATAAAACAAGAACAACAAAAACAAAAAGATTTTACATTGTTTTAGTAGTCTTATTGAAAATCTGCTTACTGTTTCTCTAAGGCAGTAATACCCAAGGCTAACATTATGAACATTCAAAAATCATAAACCATGATGTCTTCTAAAGGCATCATACTGCAATTTTATACATATCCTATCAACTCCCATCACTAAGTTGGAATTGATTATGCTAAGTATTCACAGACTTACAACCTCGATCTTATCCTCACATTTACAGATATATGTGTTGTTATCTTTTATTTATCTAATACAGTGATTCCCAGACTCTAATGCTCCAGAATGAGAAGGGATTTTGGGAGGTGAAATCCAAGCACCAGGAAGACTAGAGTTGGGAAACACAGGTCTAATAGAACTTTCTGTTTTCTGAACACTGTAATACAACTCTCCTACAACAGCTTTGATTAAATAAAGAACTACTATTGAATTTTCATGAGATAATCTCTACCTGTTCTCTACTCTGTTCTCAGAATGGTTTGGAATGCCATATTATTTTTTAGACAGACCTGTAATGACCAGACTTTTAGACAACTGTAGATGAGCCTGACCTGACCATCTCATTTCCTTCTTTCTTCTTCTTTGAGCACTGCTCGTTCTGTTTTTAAGATGTGCTCCACAGTGACTGGAAGAAGTGGCAAATACTCAACTAAGACAAGTATCTTATTATTAGACCCCTGTGGGCACTTGAAAGAGAGAGATGCCTTTCATATCCATATTAAAACTAAATCATGAATTGGGCTTTTTTTTTACAAATGACTGCCTTTTTATTTGAAGCATGCTTGCAGGAAAGTTAATTCCTTCCAAATCATCAGAAGGCTTATCCTGGTCAAGCTGCAGGCAAATGTAACTTTGCAGTGAATCCTATATTTTCTGGATGAATTGCAGTTCAGTCGTTCTCTCATATTATAAGCAGGTTTTGCTTTAAATATCCCTCCTGCCCAGATTAAGCTGTAATACAATAACATCCCATTAGAGGAGCACTGAATTCGCTTTTTAAAGTAAAGGTAAAGGTAAAATTTTCCCTTTTATATTACATCTAGTCATGTCCGACTCTGGGGGATTAGATATTGTTCATCTCTATTTCTAAGTTGAACAGCCAGCGCTGTCCGTAGATGCCTCCAAGGTCATGTGGTTGGCATGACTGCATGGAGCACTGTTACCTTCCTGCTGGAGCAGTACCTATTGATCTACTCACATCTGCATGTTCAAACTGCTAAATTGGCAGAAGCTGGGGCTAACAGTGGGAACTCACACCGCTCCCCAGATTCGAACCATTGACCTCTTGGTCAGCAAGTTCAGCAGCTCAGCAGTTTAACCTGCTGCACCAAAGGGGGGAGGGGTTGCTTTTTACAACCTTTAAAAATACACATAGCAGAGAGCACAACGATCAACCTCTGGGCTTTCAAAAACTACAAAAAATGCTCTTAGCAATGACTTCATAGAATGTCCAAACTTTTTAAACCACCGTTTTTTTAATCCAGTCCAACTGGAACCATAACGTTCCTTTTAGATACTAAAGCAGTTTAACAAGTTATCCAAATGGCAACCTATCCATTGGATCAATTACTTACAGATCTTCATGTTTTTACCATATCATGTCTTTCATCAGAATACAGATCATTTTCACTTTGCAAAATGCATTCTGCTATTCCCTTCCATAAGATCACCTTGTTAACTTCAGAGCCAATCTTGAACAATCCTTCCAGCTGGGTTGGAAGTGAGAAATAAGCTGTATGACTAATATGTCCTACTGCACTCTGAGTTTTTTTTTCAAAAAGTCGCAGTAATTACATCTACTTTTCTCAGCAGTATTCAAATTTAGAAAATAAATGATAAAAAAAGTTCCTTACGAGCTTTCGCAGAACCTTCGAAGAGTGCTTGGCTTTTCTTGATTACGCCTCTGCCGAAACCAACGCTGAATACTGCGAACATCCCAGTCCAGCTGCTTAGACAACCCTTCAAGCCTCTTCTCATCTGGATGCTATAAAAATGTTAAAGGGACAAGAAATTATTCTTGTGCTGACATTTCAGAACCAATGTTAATAATCACCCACTATAGATTCAGTTAATAGGGAGCATGGCTGGCTGGAGATGGTGGCGGGATATAAGAATAAAGTCGTCGTCGTCATCATCATCATGTTTATTTTTTTAAAAATACAGTTTGGCTTTCTTGAATCATCTCTAGCCTTTGCAGTAATACCTTTAAATATTGTTTACTGTAAATCTAAATACACTGATTTGTAGAAAATACAGACAATGGTGACTCCGTGAACCAGCAGGACTTATGTATGCATTGGGCACTATTTTCTCTTTCACTTTGGACAACAAATTGCACCTGAAAATAAAGGAGTGAAAAAAAATGAATTTGATAAGCCTTTATAAAAATTGGAGTGCTTAAGTAAATGTCACAGAAAAGTGACAGAGGCCAGAAACTGATTTTAATTCAACTGATAGCCCAATTTGAATCGACCCATAGTATCAGTGGGATTTATCTAAGTTTTGACTTGTAAAGTTTCATTAATTCAGTGGGTCTATTTTAGGTGGGACTAACAATTGGGTTTGACTCATTGCTTGCATATGTCCTATTGAAAACTGTGGTGCATAATACAAGCTACTTTATACTCAAGTGTAGCAAACTAAAGAAGAAATGGGTAGAACTGCATGAGAATAAAAGTCAAATTTAGCAGAGAGCTTCCATGTTTTGTGTACATGATAAATATTCAACTGCCAGGCAGGAAAAAAGTGTGTTAATTCCAAAAAAATCATATGTAACAGCTGAACCACTTCAAAATGGGGGTGGAAAGAGGAGACCAGAAGAGTCATCAGTTTGAGTATGTCTCCACAAATACAAGTTACCTTGGCAACAGAGCTTGCAATCTTAAAAATGCTACTCATGAGCAAGTGCCCCAAAATGTGGGTGCAGAAAGCTTAAACAGCCCTTTATTCTCACACCTGTTATTAAACAGCAGAAGTCTTATACCATCTTTGCAATCAAGTAATGACTCTACGAAGGTTTGGTTCAAATTATACCTATGCAATAATTCCCAGGTGGGCAGCAAAATATCTGAAGTGATTATCTGGAAGGGGGCAGAACAGTTGTTTTGTAGGCTGCATGTAAGTCAAATATGTACTGAATCACACTGCAATCATTTGCATGGAGGATACAGCTTGTAAAATGCAAGGCTAACCTGCATACAAAATACATGAGCAATTGCAGACCAGTGTGAATGGAAACAAAGAGCAATAAAGAACAGGCACTAGCATGTCCATCCATCCCCCTCCCTAAAGAAGAAATAAAGTGGTTTTGAGAGAATACTCTCAGACAGTGACTATACGCTTGCTAAGCCTTTTATCAGAAGCGAAACGGCACTACCAGCCCTACAATCACTGTCTGATCAAAAAGCTCAGACAAGAAGAGAGGCTGCTACAAAAACACATGTGCTCTATATAAGAAGAAACAGTGCAAACAATCCAAGAGGAAAAATCACATCAAGGGAACCACTGATCGCATAGGGAAGCTGATGAGGAAACACAACATACAAACAATCTACAAACCCACCAAGAAAATCCAACAAATGCTACGTTCAGCAAAGGACAAGAGGGATCCTCTCACCTCTGCAGGAGTCTACCGTATACCATGCAGCTGTGGACAAGTCTACATAGGGACCACCAAACGCAGCGCCCAAACACGATCAAGGAACATGAAAGGCACTGCAGACTACTTCAACAAGAGAAGTCAGCCATAGCAGAGCACCTGATGAACCAACCTGGACACAGCATATTATTTGAGAACACAGAAATGCTGGACCACTCTCACAACCACCATGTCAGACTACACGAGAAGCCATTGAAATCCACAAGCATGTGGACAATTTCAACAGAAAGGAGGAAACCATGAAAATGAACAAAATCTGGCTAAAGGTATTCAAAAACTCTAAAATTATAACAACTAAACAACAGAGAGGAAAAAAACCAGGCACAGATTAACACCTCCCAGGAACAGAATTTCCCAGGCTCAGGCAGACCTTCAAATGCTAATGAAGGTGATCAGCTAAACAGTCACACCTAACTGCAGCAGGGAAGAGCTCTTTGCCCCACCCCAGCCATTCCACAGATATATAAACCCATTTCCTACTTCCAACAGACCTCACAACCTCTGAGGATGCTTGCCATAGATGCAGGCGAAACGTCAGGAGAAATGCCTCTAGAACATGGCTCTATAGCCCGAAAAAACCCACAAGAACCTAAAAATCACATGGTTTTCCTCTTGAAAGGTGCAGAATATACAACAGTATAAGCATTGTATAGTATTGCAACCGAATGCAAGGTTTAGAACAGGGGTGGGAATACACTGATTTCCAGATATTTTAGACTCTTCACATTCACAATCCTTTTCCGTGGCCCAAATGAAGACAGTAGGGAGTATAGTTAATGTCAATTATTTTATGCTGCTAAAATGACTAATGTTGCGAAAAGAGGATTTTATAATGACAAGATAATCCTGGTTTGTTTGAACAAACCTCGGTTAATCTAAACCACAGGGTTTTATGGACCTTTTCATCAGCTGTCCTATGACAGTAGAAAAACCTGAAGGTAGAGCTCAGACAGCTAGATGCTCAAGTGACACAAGTCCAATCTCTACCAGCAGGACTACCCAGACAGTTTAATGATAAATCTTAAACTTCCATTTTATGTATATTTTTGTTTGTGTATTTTAAAGTGTATTCTGTGGAAATATGTTTTAATATCAATATGTATATTCTACGAAGTATTTAAAAAGGATTCTGTGTTTTGACTCGGTGTTTTAGCAGCGTTGTAACCCACCTCGAGCCATGAGGAGAGGCGGGGAAGAAATAATAATAATAATAATAATAATAATAATAATAATAATACCTGGAGTTGCATCTGGCCTTTTCAACTATACATTAGTTTAGTTATGTGCAAATGATCTTGTTTCATTAAAAACCCACAAATAATAATAAAAAATAGAATAGCCATATAGCATTTAATTAAAACATGCCTACTAATAGCAATGTTCTGTATTTCAATCCTTTTGTTCACTTTCATTACATATTGAAATGTATGGCTATGAAACTCCCTTCCTGGCAATATTAGATCCGCCCCCTCCCTCCTGTCCTTGAGAAGGATGGTGAAGACCTGGCTGTGGGACCAAGCCTTGGGGGCAGTGCAATGAGGCAACAATAGAATGGTGTCCTGAGATGGTTTTTTAAGCAACTGATTTTAAAGTGGATGTAAGTGATTTTAATATTTGTGTATATTTATGGTTTTATGCCTCAGCATTGAATGTTTGCCATATATATGTTGTGCTCTGCCCTGAGTTCCCTACGGGGTGAGAAAGGCAGAATATAAATGTTTCAAATAAATAAATAAATATTAAGGCTAGGCCAAGACATGTTCCTGGCTGAACTAACACGAAAGCTGGTGCACCTTTGACATAGATGATCCAGTCAGACTGGCTACTGGCTATATTGTTTCAATGTCAGTAATAGACTGAGAATCTTCGCAATATGTGAGGCAACATGACATCTTGTGTGATATATGTAACTGTTAGGGCTGGGCGGTTTCGTTTCGTAATTCGTTAAAAATTCATTATTTTTTTTTATAACGAAGCGATTTTGAACCATTCAGGAGCATCTGAAAAACGAAACGAATTTTTCAATTCTTTCGTAATTGCTCCGTATTCGTTTCGTATTCGTTTCGAAATCGTTTCGTTATTATTTCCGCATGTCTGGGGCAAGTTTTATAGCTGTTGTTTGTTTAATCAGTGAAAAAAAATTATAAATATCACACCAACAGTCAACAACAGAGGGAGAGGGAAGCTTCAGAAGTTCCCCCTGTCCCATATGGAGGTTTTTTAGCGTATTGCGCGGTCGCGTCCGCCATTAACGAATCGATTCGTATTCGTTTCGTATTCTTGTAATTGTTTCGTAATTTACGAAATTTCGTAAATATCGAACTTTTTTAAAGAAAAATTTCGGAATTCATTTAAATATCGAAACGCAAAAACCCCCAAAAAACGAGTTTAGAAACAAATTTTTCCGTGGTTGCCCAGCCCTAGTAACTGTATCTTCAGATGGGAATGCGAGAGAGGTGGAAACACCCAAGGATAATCCTCAGGTGCAAAAATAATTGCCTCAGTCTACTTAAGACTATACATTATCTTCTATATCATTAAGAGTATTAAAGCTGTAAGTGGATAAGCCTATCACAAAGACTATCTTCCTGACATGGTGAAAGTAAGCTGGCAGAAACTCAAGTGTTCAGAGGATATAGCTTCCACAAGTTAAAGTACAGTAAGAGGGCAAAAGACCTATAGAGCAGAAGAGTGTTTTCAGCAGATCCTTTCTTAACTCTTGAACAATGTAAACCTGTCCACGCTTATCTGGAAATAAGAGCCATTTAACTTAACTGGCCCTGCTTCTAGAAAACCTTATGCTATTGAAATGCCCTTTTAAGAACCCACATGGTGTGCTGTGAGCTCCTTGTTACCATCCCAGTAAAACTTGAATAATTGTGCCTAAAAAATCACTCATGTATTTTACAATACGGTCAATCTGGCCATCATTCCAAGCACCAAAGGGTGGAGGTTTCCAATCCAGATGGTACTTTACTGAGCATCTCTTCTAAATGAGAATTATATTTTTCACTGAATGAAGAATCTCTTTTCATTTTTCCAAAATAATGTAAAGGTATTGCACATACTTTACCTTTGTAATCGCAGTGAAGACTTTTTCAAGAATAGCATTAGGCTGAGCCTTTTGTGGTCCATTGGCCTGAACCTTTAGGCCTAAGGCACATGGCTTGGCTATAAACCTAAAGCATAAAAGAGAGAAAAAGATAAGAGAGAATGTTAAGAAGTAAATAATAATAATAATAATAATAATAAACCTTTATTTGTACCCCGCTACCATCTCCCGGAGGACTCGGTGCGGCTTACAAGAGGCCGAGCCCAAATACAATAGTAAAAACAATAACAACAAAAAACAAAAAATAACTAAAAAAACAGAGCAATAACATCAACAACACACAATGATGCAATTAAAAACAATGGCAGGGCCAAATGTAATAATGAAGTTAAAAAGTGCTGGGTGTGACCAGGTGGAGTGTTTGGAGGGGGATGGGTATGCAGATATCCTGGATCTCTGAAAAAGTGCATTGGGACATAATGCTAGAAGTTTCCTTATTCTGGAAAGGCACACTGGAACAATCACGTCTTCAAGCTCCTCCTAAAGATTGCTAGTGACGGGGCTTGCCTGATGCCTTTAGGGAGAGAGTTCCAGAGTCGAGGGGCCACCACCGAGAAAGCCCTATCCCTCGTCCCCACCAATCGTGCTTGCGATGCAGGTGGGAGCGTGAGCAGGGCCTCTCCAGATGAATGAAGAGATCGTGTGGGTTCGTACACAGAGATGCGGTCACACAGGTAGGCAGGTCACAAACCATTTTAGCCTTTGTGGGTAAGCACCTGCACCTTGAATTGGGACCAGAAAATGAATGGCAGCCAGTAGACCTCCTTAAACAGGAGGGTTGACCTCTCCCTGTAAGGAGCACCAGTTAACAAACCTGGCCGCCGCCCATTGGACCAATTGAAATTTCCGGGCCGTTTTCAAAGGCAGCCCCATGTAGAGCGCATTACAGTAGTCCAATCTGGAAGTGACTAAGGTGTGGACCACACTAGCCAGATCTGCCTTCACGAGGTACGGTCGCAGTTGGGGCACGAATCTTAATTGTGCAAAGGCCCTCCCGGCCACCGCCGACGCCTGAGCTTCAAGCGACAGTGATGAGTCCAGGAGGACACCCAATATGATATCCAAAAAACCCTCACTATTCATATTGCAAGGAAGCAGGAAGTCCCGTTACATCTGAACCAATGCCCTGTTGTCAGAATTGTTGAGGGGGAAGAGCAGGTAAGTTTGGCATGAGCTAATTGAATACAGTCAGGCTCACATATCTATGAATGGTACTGTTACATTATATGGGCAGAGCCCAAAAAGGGGCCTAGACAGAGGATAGTCCATTTTAAGGGGGGGGGTGCTATTTCCTCCAGTTTTCCTGTTATCAAAAACATTAACCTCTCCTGTTGTGATTTTAAAAGATACATTTGCAATGAGAGAGGAGTTAGCTGAGATGCCTGACAGAAAGAAAGACTAGTAATACTGTTTTAAAGAAAAGAAAAGAAAAACAACAACAAGTATTTAAAGTCATTTTTACAGATAACTTCAGTAGAAGCTGAGTTGAGAGAGACAATAAACTGTAGGTGAGATGGGGAAGAGCCATAGGAGTGTTTCTTGCCAGCTTGTTGAAATTATAAAGAGAAAAGAATTCCAGCCTTATTCCAGACTGGCGGCATACACGTACCACATGATAAATACTCATGTAAACAAGATTGTGTCAGGCCATTTTGGCTGCATGTTTATCTCTGCATCAGCACTCTCTTGGTTGATGGGATATTTTCTCTCTCTCCCTCACACACACAAACATACGCACTCAGACTCAATTATGTTGATTCTCCTCCACTGATAGAAGCAAAACACGGATAATTCAACATGAACAACAAGGGTTGGGCCCAAAAAAAGCTTAATTCATTCATGTATTGGTGTAAAGTAGGCAAAAGAGAAAGACCTTTGGTTACTCAGCTGCAGAACTTCTAAGGGAGTTGATAGGGAAGGCTCCAATGTTGCCCTTAAGAGCTTCTGGTGAAAACTATTATTAAAGGGAAGGGAGTGCTGTCAGGGTGGAGTGAGCCGATAAAATTTTCTAAAAATCAAAAATGAGAATTGTGGATCCCTTCCCCAGAAGATTTTGGAGCACAATGCCTCTCATCGCTCACCACTGGCTGTGTTGGCTAGGGCAGACAGATGTTGAAGTACAAAAACAGCATTAGAAGACCACAAGTTGCCCATGCTGGTACATCTGAAATTAATAAGTTAGAGCCAACAAACCAAATTAAATATCAAAGGGAACTGTTCAGAGTCATATTGTTCAGTAGTGACGGCTGGACATGTATAGCAAATATATAGACTTAAAGCCTGAAAGAGGGTGGAACAAGGATGTGTGTGGATGTGGATGGCATAACTCAGGGTATCTAAGGATGTGGATGTGTGTAATGTGGGTGGCATAACTCAGGGTATCTAAAAGATGGGATAAGAGACTAATTAGATTCTACAAGATCCAGCAATTATGAGTGAGGAGAAAGAAGAAAAACAGGAGTTTATGTGTAAACCAGAATCTGGACTTACAGAAGGTATTGGATTACAACTGCTATCAGGACTAACCAATATATCCTATATACCCATATATACAAGCAGTCCCAGCGTAACAAACATTCGACTTACAAACGACTCATAGTTAAGAAAGTGATTGAGACAACAGGAAGCAAGAGGAAATATATCCTTCAGAAGGGAAATTCACTCTGGTAAGTTATCATGGGGGAAAGGTGTCTCCACTAAATCTCTCCTGGTTGCTTCTGGAGTGAGAGAATCAGCTGTCTACGAAGACGTTGCCCAGGGGACGCCCGGATGTCTTGCAATCCTGCGAGGAGGCTTCTCTCATGTCTCATGTCATGGAGCATTGCAGTGCACCCAAATACCTGGGAATCACTCTGGACCGTGCTCTGACCTAAAAGAAGCACTGCCTGAATATCAGGCAAAAAGTGGGTGCTAGAAACAATATCATACAAAAGCTCACTGGCACAACCTGACACAGTGAAGACATCTGCTCTTGCACTAAGCTGCTCCGCTGCTGAGTATGCATGCCCAGTATGGAACAAATCTCACCATGCTAAAACAGTGGATGTGGCTCTTAATGAGACATGCCGCATTATCACGGGGTGTCTGCACTCTACACCACTGGAAAAACTACACTGTCTAGCCAGTATTGCACCACCTGACATCTGCCAGGAAGTAGCAGCCAATAGTGAAAGGACCAAGGCGGTGACATCTCCAGCTCATCCCGTTTGGGTATCAGCCAGCACATCAACGACTTAAATCAAGAAATAGTTTTCTAAGATCTACAGAGACACTCGCTGGAACACCCCAGCAAGCGAGAGTCCAAAAGTGGCAGGCTCCAACCCAGAACCTCAATCAATGGCTGATACCAAATGAGAGACTCCCCCTTGGACACACAGAAAACTGGGCAACTTGGAAGGCACTGAACAGATTGCACTCTGGCACCACGAGATGCAGAGCCAATCTTGGGAAATGGGGCTACAAAGTGGAATCCACGACATGTGTGTGTGGAGAAGAACAAACTGCAGACCACCTGCTGCAATGCAACCTGAGCCCTGCTACATGCACAATGGAGGATCTCCTTGCGGCAACACCAGAGGCACTCCAAGTGGCCAGATACTGGTCAAAGGACATTTAATCAACTACCAAACTTGTAAATTTTGTGTTTTGTCTATTTGTTTATTTTGTTAAAAATGTAATACAAATGTCTAGTTGCTCCTGATACGATAAATAAAATACTGAATCTTTCCCAACAACCTTGTTTCCACAACAAGTCATTTTTCCATATGGTAGTTAATGGTAAGGACTGATGGAAAATACAGACCAACTTCTGGAGGGCCATATGTGCCACTTTCCAGGCATACTTGCCAACCCAGTACAGAGTCCCCAGAAATCACAAGAAATCACAATTCCTGCAGTTAGGGATTATATAACATAGGGGAAAGCTTGAACATAAATACACACCAGCTCAATAACACTTAGTCTTCAGCCCTAACTCCTAACAAATTGCCAGAGTCACTTCACAAAAGAAGTTTTGGAGAAAGCATGCTAATATATGTTTGGAATTGCAGCGATTACCATCGCCCCCATGACACCATGTACAGTCGCTCCGTCCCCACATTACCATGCAAATTCCATAAAATTATCTGCTAAAATTGTACACTGCTGACTATTTTCAGCATGCCAAGATCTCCCAGTGAGTGTATATGAACTAATTCACTGTGAAATTCCTCCCACCCCAACAGGACTTGTCAAGCATTTCCCACACCAAGGAACAACCCTGTTTTTTCTGCATTCCAACTGCAATGCTTCTGTTTGAAAGAATCTGAAAATATCGAACAACCAGCATAACCAGTTTCAGCAACAAATACAATGGGCTCTTGGTATCTGATTTGGTTTGGTTCCAGGCCCTCCTGTGTTGAAGTCCCATATATATGAAATGGTGTAGTAGAATGGCATGATTGAAGATTGACAGGTTGAAGGTTCGAATTCGGAATTTGGGGAGAGCATGGATGAACTCCCGCTGTCCGCTCCAGCTCCCCATGTGGGGACATGAGCAAAGCCTCCCACAAGGATGGTAAAACATCAAAAACATCCGGGTGTCTCTGGACAACCCTCTCGCAGATGGCCAATTCTCTCACACCAGAAGCGACTTGCAGTTTCTCAAGTTGCTCCTGACATGAAAAAAAAGTAAAATGTCTCCCTTATATAAAATGGGAAAGTAAAGATTTGATTTTTTGGATTTTTTTTTTGCAGGGGGGGGGGCGACTTTTCAATCTGTGAATGCCTGAATTCATGGATACAACAATTGTGAATACGAGGGGTTGACTATATACCAGAACAAAGAAACACTTTTTTAAAGTCATTTGTCCTTCAGATTACTCCCAACAGCAGTCTGAATGTTAGTTTTAATTTTAAGCTCTTCAATTTAAGATTTTACTATTTCCCCCTACACGCTTATTAGAAACCCAGCAGCAGCAGTCCCCTTTCTGCTTAGCATGAGACTTTTTGAAAAGCTTGGTTCAAATCTATGCTTTGCTTTAAACCCCTCCTTCGATCAGAGGAAAAGGCCTAGCTACGTAAAACTGG